GAATGAACGCATTACACTACTTCGAGTGATATGTAGCTCAACATATTTTTCAACACAAATTTTTTTCGGAAAATTATGGCTGAGGTACTCCCCAGCCAGATTTTTTCGTAAATTTTTTTCTTAAAAACTTTCTGTTTTCTTAAAGATGATTCTCTGAATGATGTATGGTTATTTCTAAGCAAATGAAAGCCATTTCTGAACAAAAAAATCGTATGTTCGCCTGCTTATGCGAAAACTTCCGACTATGCTGCAGGTACTCAAGGACTATTACATAGAAGTATCCTTATATCCTTAAGCCCTGTCCTGCAGCGATAACCGTAAGTAGGTGTATCATAGATTCAGCTCAGTTCGTTAAGCTAGAACTAGTCAGCCAGCTTTGTTCGCATGAGCTGGGTCTATTGCACACTTAATGATCAATCGGTCTTTAACCACAGAAGAGCTCAAACTTTACCCAAATTTACAAACATTTTCTCCGTCGCATATACTACTTGTGTATCGAAGACACTCTATCATGCGACTCAATTGCCTTCAGCTAACAAAAAAGCTCACTCTTACTTGCTAAAGTAAAACTCAAGTACACGTTTCTTACATTACTCATGAACCTACTATTTCTTAACGCATTCAAGATCAGCTAATATATGGCGTATAAATGAGATTCTTATCAATTCTTTAGATAACGCCTAAAAGACCATGACAACTTAGGATGACCCCAATGTACTCTCGCTAATTAATTCTAATTAGTTGCGTACTAATTAATTAACGAACTTACAGTCACATAATGCGCTCATAGCCTATGGCCGCAATTGATGGAATCCTACTATGGGCTGTTAAGTATAAAAATGGACTGGCGTGAAGTGAGCTCGAAATTTGAATTTACGCACTGTGAGGCTCACTTGGTCGATCACATTTATATACATAGGAGTATCATTAGAAATATGGCTCTGACATTCTACTCGATGTAGTTATGCTTATTAAATGAACTTATAGATTAAATCGTGAATGAAAAATGACTAACATGAAGAAACAATGAAAACACGTTATAATCAGCATAAAAAATACGTCGTGATAAACTTTGTTGATAAAAGTTGGTTGAGCCAGCCATGATTTTCCTTAAATATTTTCACGTAGAAGATGGAGTTTTTTACGGGCTATCTTCTGATATCATAAAATTCCTGAGAAACCCCATTTTTTAATTCAAAGATCAAAATACTTTTAAAAAAACGCAAAAAAAACATGAAAAAACATGGTAAGAAAAACCATACATATTTTCATTAAAAAATCATCGTATTAACCCTTTTTTCCTATAAAATGATGCTTGTGTGAAGTCGACAGAAAAAGAAATGCACTTCCTTTTGACAAAAGTCAACACTATAACAATTCCTGGAATAATGCTTTAGTTTTACAATATGTTAAAAAGTATCAAAAAAAATTATCATTTTGCATTATAACTCTATAAGGCCTGTTACCATGGTATACATCATAATTCAATGAATCATTATCAGATCGAGTTAATATTTCGGATTTAGTAATATCTATATACACCCTTTATTTTAAGATAATTAAATCCAAAATCAAAAATTTTACTCCAGTCATGTTGTCTGGTATTCTAGGAGATCCTCTGCTAATACTCATAAAGTAAATTAGAAAAAGAAATAAAAAGGTAATCATTTGGATAGATTGTAGCGTACACTTTGCATGGTCTGTTTTTTTGTCTTAAGTTTCACTTGATACTACATGAGGTCCAATGTCTTAGTTGAGAGATCTACGTTTGCAGTCAAGCACCGTCAGAAGTTAGAGAAGTAAGACATTGTATCTAAGTTTCTTACATCGAGCCTAAACTATTTGTATTATTTAACCAATGATTCTGATTTCAGTGTAGATAAGAATTTCGATGCTGTTGCTGAATATATCCGATGGATCGACTAATGGGAAAATAAGTTGAAACCAAGAGATATTCTCAATAGAAGAAAACGATTTCAATGAAATGAAGAAAAGAGAAAAAAAGACAAACTTCTTCACGAGCTACTTTCATATCATCTTTTACATTAGTAAAAATAGTAGGTCGAATAAAATAACCTTTATCACCAACTTTTTTACCCGACCGAATACATTCAAGAATTGTTTCTAATTGAGTATGACTGTTTTATAGAATACACAAAAGAAATCAATGCTAACCTGTTGTCTTGTCAAATTATTTTCTGAGTCCTCGATCAGTATGTTTTTTCCATAGTTTAGATTATGACACTTTGCTTGAAATGCTTTCTTATACCTATGGTCCTTGTTCAGTTGTAGAATTAAATGGACCATCAACGATACGTTTCTTTATTAATTCGACACTTTTAGACGCAAAGGCATCGTGAAGTGTGGAATGAACAAATATTCTTGATGCAGCAAAACATACTTGACCTGCATGAGTGAAAACTGCTCTGTGAGCCGTTCGAATAGAAACATCGAATAAAACATGCAAAAACAAATTAATTCTATCGTTTATAAACCTTTTTCGTCACTAGGAAGCACAATGAAAATGAAAGTAATAGAATTATTTAATACATACGATCAGTATTTTTACAAATGATCAATGATGATTTACTACCTATATGTGATGAAAAAGGCAACAAAGCAGACAGGTAAGAAAGATGATTTTACTACCTAAGTTCTAGTGAAACACGCTTTAGATTAGTTTTTCCTGCAGTTTCTTGAATCTTTTTCCCAACCTAAAACAAAATATCATGTGCGTTTGTTTTTTGTCTTTCATCTGCACTAATCTTGCCTTGAGTGAACCTGTAAAAGCTATTTTATTAATCTTTTCATGCACGACCACAGTTAGGTCCATGACTTACATATGTATATCATTATAAGAGTTGTTTTCATTCTGGTGATGTGTATTACCTAATACACTGTTAATAATACCTGGTGGAAAACCAGCCTAGATTATTGATTTAGTGTTAGAGTAAATTTCTATTGTTGATAGACGATGAATAACACTTATTTGACGACAGAAGCACAAAAGAGTGCAGTAAGTGGTGTTTGTTCAGCTGGTTTGAGAATAACTACATTGCCTATTTGTTATTACAATATATAAGAAAGTGTAAATTAGTAGAAGTAATGAAGTTACCACAAACTAATGCTGATCCAAGTTTCAAGGCCAACATAACAGTCTAAAATATAATGGCAACAATACTTTTGTATGATGCATATGTAAGAAAGAATATCGTACTGAATAATCACTGAAAGAGGAAGGTACGATTTGAATGTTCATTTATTGAATGTTTGAACTGACCATGAAATGATTTGTCCATAGATCCCAACTGATTCATGTCTAATATAGGTAATAAAAATACTTGATTCTCATGGAAATGTTTCACCAGTGATTTTATCAGTCCATTCAGCATCTGTAACATGTGAATATCATCGATAATAAAAAAAAGAGAATGTCAGAAAGACTTACAATAATCAAGACAAATAGCTGCTCCAAGAATCTCGCAATAACTCTCTTGTAGCAGTTTTTCACTATTCAGTGTTTCTAATCTATGAATATTCATTTATGATGTGGATGCAAATAAACAGAGTAAAACATTTTTACTGCTAAATAATCCACAACACGTGAAAGTAAATCAGCAAGTTTATGAATTAATTGAGCACGTGCAGCAGGATCTAACTTATGCCATGGTGAATCATATTGGAAACCTTTTTTTAGCAGCTTCAATTGTTTTATCAAGATCACTCTACAGTATTGGAAACAATAAAAATTACACGTAGAACGAAAATCATCATGTATATATGTATATATTGATACTTTTGTGCCTTCTTCTACTTGACAAATTTCTTCATCTGTACTTGGATTAATGATAGAAAACGGATTCATCTTTGTCTACATGATTGACCTTGATTTATCACATAAGAAGAAAAGAAAAAATGGACATATATTAACTCGTCCCTCTATCCACTTATATTCATTTCTGTTTCAGTGGCAGATGATGTCTTCAATCTTAATGAATGATTCAACTTATGAAACCAATTTGGTTAAAAGAAAACAAAAATTTGATAAGGTAGCACACCTGAGTATTGTAACAAGTCTTCGTGTCAATGTGGTATTTTTTAAAACTTGTCTTATCGATTGGACTTTGCGACAAGTGAAGAACAATTTTTTTAATAATATATGTATTTGATATTGCACTTCACTATAGAACTATTTTACTAACAGGTGCAAATCAGATCGTCCTTAGTATATGCAAAATCATTTTCTTTTGATGTGACTCTCTTACTAAAGATCTTATCAGTTCGTTTAATGTGAAACACTCAATATATGAAGGAAGACTTCCAGAACGAAATTGCCACGATGGAAAGAAGGAATTTTTAGAATAGCGAAGACTTCAAGCGAATAGAACTAATTTTCATAATTGTACGCTGGATTTCGAAAGCGTTGTAAATAACAGACTAAAACATTCTCTTCGCCGATATCATATATCTACTTATGTGATTTCAGTTAACAAATTAACATTTTTCATAAGAATATTATTGTTACTGTTCAAAAGTGGTGTCACTTAGATGATAGAGAACAGGAACAATCAAAAAATTTATTATATATAAAAACTTCTTTAGATTCACTATATATATATAATCAATAAATAATGTTTTACGATAGTAGAAAAGAATCGATCATACTTTTCCTTCTTCAATAATCGATTTGTTTCTTTGTATTGTATTTCTTTAAAGTCTTTTAAATAATAAAATTTTAAATGTTATTAATTATGTATCTTAAATTGAAACTAGATTATGATCATTCATACGAGTTATTACCGTAATTAGGAGTTGTTTCAACTGATTGCTCGTAGTATTCTATTCTTTGCACTTAAACATTTTATTTAAATTAGTTGTACGTATTAGTGAGACTTTCGCAATACATGGAAGAGCTTAGAGAGCAAACTACATATATGTTAGAAAGTTAAACAAGCAAATCCAAATAGCTGTTCGTCATGAAAAATTTGTATTGTTTTTCCTCAAACGAGTTTAACAACAATTATTTTTACTCGATAATATGCTTCGAGACGATATCGACCTAATTCTTTTTCCTGACCTGATTCTTTAAAGCCATCAAATAGTGCTTGATCACATATAGTCTTATAAGTATTTATCCAAACAGACCCAGGTCATATTTGATGAGCCAACGTAAGACCACGTCTCACTGAAAAACTAGAATAATCATCAATAATCATTTCTTTCAAATTTACTGTCTCTAGTTATCACTCCAGCACCAAGTCCAAAAGTCGTGTCGTTTGCTCGTTTGATAACTTCTTCATATGAATCATACTTGAAGACTGACATTACTGGATCAAATATCTAAACTTTTACATTATTATAGAATCTAATAAAAAAAAATGTTATACCTCTTCACGAGTAATTTGCATATCATCTTTTACATCACTAAAAATAGTTGCTTGGATAAAATAATCTTTATTATCAATTCGTTCACCACCATATTCTGATTTATCTCCAAATTTTTAACCTGATTTTATAAAATCCAAAATCCATTGAAATTGACTATCATTTATCTATCATACACAAGTAAAGGGAACTTTTCTTTAGATTAAAGAGGTTATTACTTGTGATCCTTGTGCAGTATTAGAATCAATTTGATTATTTGAAAGTCTTATAGAATACTCATCCTCACCCTCAGATGATTAAAGGAAATCTTCCACCAATATGTGAAAAGAGAATAGCTCAGATGAAAATTATCCTGTATTTGTTACTGACCAAGTTCAAGTATAACACATTTAAGATTTGATTTAGTTGCTGCTTCTTGTATTTTCTTTTCAACCTTCAATCGAACATTTCACATTCATTTTTTTTAGTTTTATTAGTGAATGTTCTTACTTCAACTGAACTAGTACAAGCTACTTTATCAATATGTGCATGAACAGCAATTGCGTAACCACATTCAGGCCCATCACCTAAATATTCGTATGAAATTATTACGACAAATATCATTCACTTTACCTGGTATGATGTTGATAACATCTGGTGGAAAGCGAGCCTAGATCATCATGATAACAACAAAGTATAATCGACATGATAATATCGTACCTCTTTGATAAGAGCAGCACAATAAAGTGCACTAAGTGGTGTTTGTTCAGTTGGTTTCAGTACAATCAACTGAGAAAAATATTTCACCTTTAGTCTGTTCTAATAGTTTACCATTGTTAAGTGTTTCCACTTTCTACATATTGACTTATGTTGAGAGAAAGAAAGAGAATCTAATTTATGTCATGGTGATTCAATATCAAAAGCTGTTTGAGCAGCTTCAACTGTTTTATATCAACATTAGCCTAAAAATCACAATAGATAATGAACCAATGAAGAACATATAGAGATTCATACTCTAATGCCTTCTTCTACTCGACAGATTTCTTCTCCTGTACTTGGGTTGATGACAGAAAATGTTTTTCCATTTGTTGCTTTATGCCATTCATTGTTGATAAAGATTTGAGTATATTTAACTTTAACATTCGAAGCTATTTAATCAGCCGATGACATCTGAAAAATAAGAGAAAAGACCTGAACAAAAAAAAGGTGTTTTGGTCGACAACAAGTATGATAATGATAGTGTCATCGTCATTTATCTAAGCAAACACATACTTATATATCCCACTCGCTCTATTTTATACGTGCACAAACATATACCCACTTTTTGCCTTTTCTCTTATTTTCTTAAGGCGAAAGAGAACAGACGCTAGATAAAAGAAAAAGTAGATTTTCTTCTTGCCAATATAAAAATGTAGGTTGCATCAACGACAAAACACAAACAAAATATAACATACAAAATCATGTTTTTGTCAATAAAGAAAACGAGCAGTACATAAACAGTCATGATTTTAAATAGAGAAAAAAAAAATTTAGAGAAACGCTGGAACTCCTCTAGTACCAAGTGATCATGTCGTCACACGATGATTTTTCTAATCGATCAGGACAAGATCCCATTGAGATCTTGACTGCACGAATATTCTAAACTCAAATATTCATATAATCCGTAGCAGCAAATAACCAAAAGATCATGCTTTTTAAAGATATTCAGTGCACAATGTCTCAGGACAAGAATTCTCGTTGCCCGGACCCAAAGGGTTAAGAACTTATGACCCGAGAAATATGATGGTCGTATCAATAAGTGAAAATATTATCTATTTCATCTATAATTAATCCATCTAATCTAAAATTAGCCAGAGATGTTTTTCACATAGTACAGTCAATCCATATTTTTAAACGGCCAAAAACGAGTACGTACAATGGAATATAACGGGTAGCTCATAAAGAATTGCCTTCCTAATATTTTCAAAATCTCTCTCCTTCCT